GGAAAGAGCCTCCCCGGATCAGCAGGGGGGAACGCAGGCTTTCCTGCAAAGAGCCCCCCACCCCCACGTCCTCCCCAATAAGGGATTTCGCTTCTCCTTACCGGTGACAGAAGGGGGTTGCCTGTTCTCTGTGCCAGGCAGTATTTCAGGCTGCCTGGCTGTCTCCTTCCCTGGCACCGCCATTGGGGAAAGAGATGTTCGCCGCCTGGCTAGAGCAGGCATGAATTTGCGCAATGCAGGCCTGGGGGTGGAGAGTGCAAGAAATGCCTTTCCTCCTCACGGGAAGTCCCTGGTGCTTTTACCACTGAGCCGTGTTCCACCATCAATGTCTTGGTCCCTTGGGGATTTCCTTTGCCCGTGTGTTTACGTCCCCGCGCAGCTGGGCTGGCGTTGCCTTTGCAGCCGCGTAGGAACGGTTTGCCACTTCTGAGCTCTTGCAGGCTGCATACCTCCGCGGCATGTTAAGAAGTCGTTCCTGATGCAGCCTTGTCCCGTACCGCAGGCGGTTCCCAACCTTTTCGGTATGGTGATCCCCCCCCCCCAGTACAAACTTACTTGGTATGGTGACCCTTCATTTGTGGATCCAGAGGAGTTCGCCGTGTTAGCCTGTTGCTGAATGTCCATGATCTGTGCAGGACTGGGAGCAAGGCCTAATGCGGCCTGGTCCCAGGAGAGACCTGCGTGGCAGTGGACAGCAGACATAGCCTACAATCCCCATAAGGCTTAGCAACGGTTGTAGCCAATCAGTGTCCAGGAATTCTTTGAGGTGATGGTTGCATAACTTTGTGGGCCGTGGAAAAATGGTGTTCTTTCCTCTCACCGAGCTAAACTGGACTGTGTTCTTTTGGTCTTCTGCAGTCTTGTCTCACAGAGGGGGGACAGTCTGGTCTGAGGAGAAAGATCCCGGCAGGGTCTTGTTTTCCTTGGCCCAGTACTGTGTTAATAAACCATTTGTTTAAGTGTTCTCTGCCTGGTCATCACGTCTATGTTCTCGGCTTAAAAGGGGGCATTTTGGATGGGCTTGGGAGGGTACCCTGGGCCTTCCCAAGGGACCCGAAGTCCAGAGTGGTGGCAGCGGAAGGTGGCAACCCCCTGGGGGTCATGACACTGCAAAATAGTAAAAAGCCCAGTAGCACCTTTAAGACTGACAAACTGTATTGTAGCACAAGCTTTTGAGAAACACAGCTCTCTTCGTCAGATGCATGGGAGGGTATGAGATATACAGGTGGGAAAGGAAGGTAGTTGTCTGTTCGTATCTGTGCTAGTTTCTTCATGAAGCTGATGGATTTCCTCTCCATTCGGCTGAATGCGCTTCTTTCCCTGGTCATAGATCCAGAGGAGTTGGCCGTGTCAGTCGATTGCTGCAAAATAGTAAAAAGCCCAGTAGCACCTTTAAGACTGACAAACTTTATTGTAGCATAAGCTTTCGGTGACTGTCTGGGGCCGCCCTAGGCAAATTATGACCTCAGCTCCCATTGAGGTCAGTATTCCCATTTTCTAGAACGTTTTTGAGAAGCCAAAAACCGTCGCACGAAGAGCGCAGCAGCCCCCGCTGTGAACCCCAAGCAGGTGGCTCTCCGACATGCACAGTCTTGCGTGTGGAGGTTACATCCCAACCTGTGAGCACTCTCTCTTTCTCCATCACTCCCTCTGATGCACCTTAAGGTTCTAAGAAACTCACTCTGGTGACTATCAGGACAATTTTTTTTTGCTTGATCAACATGTGTACGCAGTGAAGACATAATACCAACTAATGTATGGCACGAAAGAGACTGTTTCCAGGGTCAGATCTTGTTCTGCAGGGTACGAAAGAAAGCTCATACATTTTTGTCCGAGCTCAGGAAGGCATGACTCCAGAGCAAGCTAGTTGATGCAGTTGTCAAATCGCTCGCTCACAACTTTAGTTCCAGTAGCTCACCAAGTAGAATTTTTGCTCACAAGACTCCACAGCGTAGAGGGAGCATTGGTCCCGGCCCACAGGTTGTGAAACCTCGCCTTACAGTGTTTGTTTCTTCTCGGGGACTGGTCTGTGCTGAAGTCGTGGTCTCCTGGGGGCTTCCCGTGTTTGATCGTGGGAAATGCTGTGTGGGCCGTGATTCCCCCAGAAGAGGATTGGGGTGACGGGGATGGAATTCAGCCCCCTGAGACCACCGGCTTTCATTTAAGGGTGCCAGCGAACCCCGTGTTCACTGTTTGTAGCCAAAAAAAGGTCAGTCAAACTGAGTAGAGGGCCAACGATTAAAACTTGATGTATCAACAGTGTGTAAAAATACGTGTATTTCCTCATAAAGAATTAAAAAACATATGGGGGCCCAGTCACACCTCATGTAAAAATTCCCAAATCGTATATACACAAGGGCCAGCGGACTTGACCAGATGCGTTTCGGCTTGTTCGGGCCTTCTTCAGAGGTCAAATGCAATGAGGAACATACTGGCTTATATCATAGTGCATAATACGGTTCTACAGCATGGATACAAAATGGACCAGGAAGGAATTACTGTAAAAAATTTAAAAAACCATGTGAAATTAAATACATATAATACAATGGTGGCTCAGAGGTTAAGACGCTGAGCTGCAGACCGGAAGGTTGGTAGTTCAGCGGTTCGAGACCCGAGTGCTGCGTGACGGAGTGAGCTCCCGTCTCTGGCCCCAGCTCCTGTCTACCTAGCAGTTCGAAAGCAAGAAATTGCAAGTAGATAAATAGGTACTGCTTCAGTGGGAAGGTAACAGCGTTCTGTGCGCCTCGGTGTTTAGTCATGCCGACCACATGACCAAAGAAATGTCTTCAGACAGCGCTGGCTCTTCGGCTTGGAAACGGAGATGAGCACCGCCCCCTAGAGTTGGATTTGACTGGCTTTCGAGCAAGGGAAGCCTTAATACAATGGATAAATAATGTCTATATTATACTTTAAAAAAACGTATTGACGTACTTGCAGAGTGAAATTACTAGGCATAGAATGAAAATATAAATGAGGCCTCCCAAGTTCCAATGATAGCAGGCCGAAATGCGTCCAGTCAAGTCCATTTGCCCTTGTGTATATATGATTCTGGAATTTTCACATGAGGCGTGATCGGGCTTCTATATGTCTTTTAATTCTTTATAAATAAATACATGTATTTTTACACATTGTTTATACGTTAAGTTTTATTCGTCGGCCCTCTGTTCAGTCTGACTTCCCTTTTCAGGTTCTCGAGCCTGCTTTTCAGGGTTAAGTTTGTTTCCCCCTTTTCTGTTCATTGTTCATTCACCGTTTGTAGCTTCCAGCGATTGTAGAGCCTCACCTCCTTTCCCCACCTCTCTCTCTCTCCCTTCTCATAGACTTTCACAGCATGGTGCAACTCCCACCTGCGGAAAGCCGGCACGCAGATCGAGAATATCGACGAAGACTTTCGCGACGGCCTCAAACTCATGCTGCTGCTGGAGGTCATTTCAGGTGAGCCCCCCCCCCTTTTGCGGCCACCACCGCTCTTTAAACCTCCTCCCCTGATATTCTCCTCGGCGCAAGCCTTTGCACTTCCGCCACGAACTCTGGGAGGCACAGAGCGGCCCAGTTTCGACATCCTAGGGGGGCAGGAAGCGTCGGCGGCCTTTGGGCGGCCAGCGTGTCCCTGCAGTCCAGACGTTCCGAAATCTGTTAATCAGTGGCTGTCCCAGAGGCCCAGTGGGGACTCTTCTGTGAGAAGGTTCCCCGGTTCCTGCACTCAGAATTGGCCATGCTCATTTGCACTGTTGTCACCTAGATAGCTCAGCCTGCAAGGCCAGGGTTCATCAGACTGGGAGGAACTGGTCGCAGGGCTTGTGAGAAACCTATTTTGACCCCCCCTCCCCGTCCACTTGTTTTAAGGCTATGCATGATTCCAGGTTCTGCTGACAGATTCAGAAATGGGCTCTGTCCCATTTGTCGACATACCATAAACCAATGCGATATCACAGCATACAGTTTCACAGAAAGCAGGCAAACACTGTATAAATAATGCAGACCACAATTGCTCAAAATGCATGCAAAACAGAGGTAGTTTATATAAGGATAACAGAGGACCACATATATCAGTAAAATAAATTTACATCATAGAATGTACAGGTCCATAAGTGGTACATAGACAGACGAAGACTCTGGATTTTGATCTTCATTTGCTCTTCTTCAAGAAGTTCATACTACTTCATAAAGTACTCGTAATGTACAGAAGACTTTGAAATGGTCCTTCACACAGCACTCACAGTGTATAAAAGCCTTCAAACCAGTATTACAGGAGAAAATTCAATCCCATTATAATCATTCACAGCCGGACACCCGATCAGCAAAGGAACAAACTCTTCAATAGTTGGTAAGCCTCCAACTATTACCGACTATTGAAGAGTTTGTTCCTTTGCTGTGGTCCTCTGTTATCTATTTATCTAATAGCCGTTGTCCCCTCCGTGCGGATATCTAAATCCGCACATCGGGGGCACTTGGGGGGCAGGGGGGATGTTCCCGCACACTTGGAGCCATCTCCAGGTGTGCAGAAAAATCTAAAAAGTTGAAAAAATCTACAAGTGTGCAGAAAAATCTAAAAAGTTGAAAAAATATTCGGGGGATACTTAAATCCCCCCCAAAAGTAAAAGAGCGTTCCCTGCGCATGCGCAGAGAGCGCTCTGAACATGGGGGGGAGACTCTGTGGGCCCGGCGGCTAGGAGCCGCACAGGTCCCCTCTGCCAGAGCTGGGGGGAAGGCTCAGTGGCCCGTAGGGTTCGCCGCCAGGGTGTGGAAGGCAAAGGAGAAGGAATGGCAGGCCTGGTGGCTGGGAGTTTCATGGACCTTGCTGTCGGTACGGGGGGGGTGGTGGGGGGGGAGAAGGAGTGGCGGGTATGGGCCTCGCTGTCGGAGAAGGCTCACCTGTGGCTGCTTCCTCCTCCACGTGGAGCTCCCCCCTCCCCCGCGAGTATCGCGGGTCCTCCTTTCTTGTTCTCTGCCTCTGTTTTGCATGACTTTTGAGGAATTGTGGTCTGCATTATTTATAGTGTATGCTTGCCATTTGTCAGCATCCCTGTTCGGGGAAAGAGGCCTGCTACAAGGCTTCCTTTCTCTCCCCCCACCCCCAAAGTACTCAACCTGGGGTAACATTAGATTTTCTATTCCTTGTTTCTTAGCACGGCACAAACAAACATTGTCTTGCAACACCTGTTGCGTTCTTGTCTTGCTAAACCTGAACTCTGCGTCCAAAGTGGCTGACTTTCCTCACTCTTTTCCCTCTATCCCCTACTCCCCCCCCCACCCCCAACCTGGCCTCCTTTCAGGGGAGCGATTACCAAAACCGGAGAGAGGGAAGATGAGGGTGCACAAGATCAACAACGTGAACAAGGCCCTCGATTTCATAGCGAGCAAAGGAGTCAAGCTGGTTTCCATAGGAGCCGAAGGTAAGCGAGCGGCCGGGGAAGGGGGGGGGGGCGCTCTTGATCCGTCCGGCTCCGTGTCACCTGCCCAGTTGCTCTGCAGGATCTCTTGGGCCGTCAAGTTTCGCACTGGAGACACTAGAGACCGAATCCTTCGGGCAGGCTCCGTTTGAGCTTCGCCACATAGGCCGCCGCCTCTCCCTGCCCCCTTCTCTGGAAGCTCTTTCCCAGTACCTGTGCCAGGCCCGAAGCCAGGATTTCTCGTTCTGTGGGGCAGGATATTTTTTTTTCCTCTTGGGGCTCCCCCCCTCTTCACTTGTACTTATACTTAAACAAGGCTCTTTTTGTAGAAAAAGCCCAGCAGGAACTCATTAGCATAATAGGCCACACCCAACAGCAGAAACTCATTCGCCTATTAGGCCACACCCCTGACAGCACCGCTCATTAGCACATTAGGACGCACCCCCATGTTACCAGAAGTGTGGTCATCCAGCCACACCCACCTTTCCCTTCTTATTCTGTTTACCTTGTTTGTTGTCAAAACCCAGGGCTTTTTTTTGTAGCAGGAACTCCTTTTCATGTTAGGCCACATACCCCTAATGTAGCCAATCCTAATGAGTTTCTGCTGTTGGGTGTGGCCTATTATGCTAATGAGTTCCTGCTGGGCATGGCCAACTCGGGAGCTAGCCGGAACTCCATTCCTGTGCGTTCCTGGCCAAAAAGAGCCCTGTAATAAATTTTTTTTAAAAAAATAAAAAATAAAATAAATTTTATTAAATTTTCAGTTGTTTGAAATACATAACAACAAGATCAACGCAGTGAACCACAGCATGTACATAACCTGTTAACTTTGAAATTCAGTTGAAGGTTGGCATGACTAGATACAGTAAGACAGGAGGATTGCAAAGTGTTTTCTGTAACCCAAGTGGTGCTGAACAGTTACAGTTTACAATCACTATTGAATCTTTGTGACCTCATAACACTACCTAAACCTCTACCTGAGATTTCAGCAAGAACTTAAGAGAAGCCAATGTTGGATCAGGCCAATGGCCCATCCAGTCCAACACTCTGTGTCACACGGTGGCCAAAAATATCAAGGTCCATCAGGAGATCCACCAGCGGGGCCAGAACTCCAGACGCCCTCCCACTCTTGCCCCCCAAGCACCAAGAACGCGGGGTAACACTGCCCCAGACATAAGAACATAAGGGAAGCCCATGTTGGGTCAGACCAATGGCCCATCCAGTCCCACACTCTGTGTCACACAGTGGCCAAAAATACCAGGGGCCATCAGGAGATCCACCAGTGGGGCCAGAACTCCAGACGCCCTCCCACTCTTGCCCCCCAAGCACCAAGAATGCGGAGTATCACTGCCCCAGACATAAGAACAGCCACGTCGGATCAGGCCAATGGCCCATCTAGTCCAACACTCTGTGTCACAAAGTGGCCAAAACCCAGGGGCCATCAGGAGGTCCACCAGTGGGGCCAGAACTCCAGACGCCCTCCCGCTTTTGCGCCCCAAGCAACAAGAAGACAGAGCATCCCTTGCCCCAGACAGAGTTTTCCATCTACACCTTGTGGCTAATGGCCACTCATGGACCTCTACTCCAGATGTTTCTCCAGTCCCAAAGGGAGAAAAGGACTTCTTTCTTTTCCTTGTCTATCTCATGCATAACTTTGTAAACCTCCATCATGTCACCCCCTCACTCATTGTTTCTCCAACCTAAACAGCCCTAACCTTTAAGAACATAAGAGAAGCCAATGTCGGATCAGGCCGATGGCCCATCCAGTCCAACACTCTGTGTCACACGGTGGCCAAAAATACCAGGTGCCATCAGGAGGTCCAGCAGTGGGGCCAGGACACTAGAAGCCCTCCCACTGTTGCCCCCCCCAAGCACCAAGAATACAGAGCATCCCTTGCCCCAGACCACGATTTCCTACCTATACCTTGTGGCTAATAGCCACCGATGGACCTCTGCTCTATATAAGAACAGAAGAGAAGCCAGTGTTGGATCAGGCCAGTGGCCCATCCAGTCCAACACTCTGTGTCACACAGTGGCCAAAAATACCAGGGGCCATCAGGAGGTCCAAGCACCAAGAATACAGAGCATCACTCGCCCCAGACCGAGAGTTCCTATCTATACCTTGTGGCTCGTAGCCACTGAGGTACCTCTGCTTTCTTCACAGGGAAGGTGTTCCACCCCCTTGTCAATTTCACTCCCAGACCTCCTGACCGTGGCCCTTTTCCGCCTCCCTCCCAGCTTCCTTTCTCTCAAGACTCCTGGACCACTTCCGTCTTTGGCCCTTCTGTTCCTAGCCGTGGCACCCGGCTGCCTCTTTTCGTGGCGTGACTTAGCGGATAAGAGAAGTCCAGTCCCTGAAAAGCGATTCGCCTCTACTAAGTGGAGCATCCATGAACAGAGGCAGTCTACCTTTGAATTGCCCGATTGCTGGCGCAATAGACGTCGCAGACCCCTTCCGCTAGCGGAAAAGTCTCCCTTCCCGCCCTTAATTCAAACCCATTCTTGCGAGTCCTCCCCTCTGCTGCCCGCAGGAGCCGCTCCCTGCCCTCGTCCAAAGGGACAGCCCTTCAGATACTTCAAGAGAGCCATCCTGTCCCCCTCTCAACCTCCTCTTCTCCAGACTGAATTTTCCCAGGTCCCCCCTCAGCCTTTCCTCATAGGGCTTCTTGGTCTCCCGGCCGCCCCCCCCCCCGATCATCCTTGTGGCTCTCCTCTGCACCCGCTCCATTCTCTCCACACCCTTTTTGGAGTGAGGACATTCATTCCTCAGCATGTCCAGTTAAAAAAGACCAGGCAGTAGAAGAAGAGATTGGATTTATACCCCGCCCTTCACTACCCAAAGGTGTCTCAGAGCAGCTCACAAACTCCTTTCCCTTCCCCTCCCCACAACAGACACCCTGTGAGGTAGGTGGGGCCGAGAGAGCTCTGACAGCAACGGCTCTTTTTCAAGAACAGCTGTGCCAGAACTACGGCTTGCCCAAGGTCATCCAGCCAGGTGCGAGTGGAGGAGTGGGGAATCAAACCCAGTTCTCCCAGATTAGAGAAGAAGAAGAAGAGATTGGATTTATACCCCTCCCTTCACTACCCAAAGGGTGTCTCAGAGCGGTTTACAAACTCCTTTCCTTTCCCCTCCCCACAACAGACACCCTGTGAGGTAAAAGAATAAGAAGAAGAGTTTGGATTGATACCCCGCCCTTCACTACCCAAAGGTGTCTCAGAGCGGCTTACAACCTCCTTTCCCTTCCCCTCCCCACAACAGACACCCTGTGAGGGAGGTGGGGCTGAGAGAGCTCTGACAGAAACTGCTCTTTTTCAAGAACAGCTGTGCCAGAACTACGGCTTGCCCAAGGTCATCCAGCAGCTGCGAGTGGAGGAGTGGGGAATCGAACCCGGTTCTCCCAGATTAGAGTCCGCGCACTCAACCACGACACCAAACTGGCTCTCTAGGTGATGGGAAAACCCGAGACCCTGGAGAGCCGCTGCCAGTCTGTGTAGGCAACACCGGCCTTGGCGGTCCGATTCAGTATAAGGCGGCTCTTTCCCTTGAATGGCCCCAGGGATCCAGCGTCAGTCAACCCCTCCTGCTTTTCGGGACCCAACCTGGGAGAGCGAGTTGCCCTTGAGAGCTCCGAGCCTGTCCGGACAGACCGCCCTGTCAGTCCCGTCAGGACTGGCGTCTCAGGTTACAGGACTGCTTGCCAAACTGGTCGCCCTTGCGCTGAGCCGTTCCCTCCCCTCCCCAGCAGTGCCTTTCAGTTGTCTCTGCTCCCGCACCTCCCTCCGCCCGCTTCTGAATGTTTGCATTTGTCTGAGCAGCCGAGCGCCTCTCCTTAAATCCTCCCAGTAGCTGAACCGGCTTCCCTGTCCCTGCCCTTCGTCTCTCCGGAATCTGGCAAGGATGGGCGTCCGCAATCTGACGGGAGGATCAAGAGCTGCGTTCGGGGCTTCCAAGAGGCTCGGATGTGCTCCATTCTTGAGAAGAATGGGGAGTGGGGGGGGGGAATCAAAATTCTGTGCCTGGGCAGTCGCAGGTTCCAGACCGCCGAAAGCAGTGCTCCCTCGAAGCTGTGGAGGTTTGTGAGCAAGAATTCTAATTTGTGAGCTACCGGCATTAAAGTTGTGAGCGAGCGATTTGGCCGCTGCATAAATGGGGTTTGCTCTGGAGCCACCCCTTCTTGAGCTGGGACAAAAACGTGTGAGCCGGAGGCTAAAGAACTGTGAGCTAGCTGACACTAACTTGGCGTAGAAGGAACGCTGGCTGAAAGCGGTAACTGGCGTAAGTGAGCACGCACACAGAACAAACCGTGCATGATGGGACTTCGGCAGAATTTGGGCCGCTTCTGCCTGTAGCGGGGAGTGGAAAATACTTAGGCAGAGCGGCCGTCCCCTCATGGCTAACCTTAAGCACCCGCAGAGTCATTAACACGCGGAACTCACGGCCGCAGGAAGTGGTGGCAGCGACAAGCATAGATGGCTTCAAGAGGGGATTGGCTCAACAAGGGAGCGTCTCATCCAATATGTCCCCCAAAGAACTCTGAGATCGGCTAGTAACAGCTCGCTGGAGATCCCTGGTCCCGACCTGGAGGAACTCCCTACCGAATAACATCAGGGATCTTATGCAGTTCTGCAGGGCCCGTAAGGCAGAGATGTTCCACCAGGCTTTTAGCTGAGGGCAGCAACGGGAGGTTAAGACGGGCACCCTTCCTTTCCTTTCTGTGGCCCCCGCGTACCCTTCCCCCCCTTGCCGTGCATGACAGTGGTGTGGCCGGTAAAGGGGGGGGATTATTATATCGCCCTCTTGGATCGGTTTTAAATTATTATATATACTGATTGTACTTTTAAGTGTTTTTATAATGGCTGTAAATTTGCCCAGAGGTGGGCAAATTTGCAGGGTGGGCAGTTTGTAAATTTAATGAAATAAATAAATGGATCGTATGGAGCCGAGGTCCATCAGTGGCTAATCAGCCACAAGGTATAGATGGAACACTCTGTCTGGGGCAGGGATGCTCTGTCTTCTTGGTGCTTGGGGGGGGGCAACAGTGGGAGGGCGTCTGGAGTTCTGGCCCCGCTGGTGGATCTCCTGATGGCCCCTGGGTTTTGGCCACTGTGTGACACAGAGTGTTGGACCGGATGGGCCAGTGGCCTGATCCAACATGGCTTCTCTTGTGTCTGGGGCAGTGATTGTCTGCGGTCATTGGTCTGATCCATCATGCCTGGGGCCATTGGTCTGATCCAATATGGCCTCTCTTATGTCTGGGGCAAGTGATGCTCTGTCTTCTTGGTGCTTGGGGGGGGGCAACAAGGGGAGGTTGTCTGGCATTCTGCCCCCGCTTGTGGTCCTCCTGATGGCACCTGCTATTTTTGGCCACTGTGTGACACACAGTGTTGGACTGGATGGATCACTGGCCTGATCCAACATGGCTTCTCTTGTGTTCTTAAGAGCAGAGGTCCGTGAGTGGCTAATTAGTCACCAGGTATAGAAGAAATTCTCAGTCTGGGGCAAGTGATGCTCTGTCTTCTTGGTGGTTGGGGGGGGGGCAACAGTGGGAGGGCTCCTGGTGTCCTGGCCCCACTGCTGGACCTCCTGATGGCCCCTGGAATTTTTGGCCACCGTGTGACACAGTGTTGCACTGGATGGGCCATTGGCCTGATCCAACATGGCTTCTCTTAAATTCTTGCTGAAATCTCAAGTAGAGGTTAAGAATATAAGAGAAGCCATGTTGGATCAGGCCAACGGCCCATCCAGCCCAAAAACGTATTGTCACAGTCGTAAGGCCTTGAAACTTGCTTTTCTTTTTTAAAAAACGGGTAAAGAGCGAAAGTGGAAACGGAGCAACAGATCCTGTTCCCGATGTACTTTTTAAAAACCATTCAGGATTACGTGATGCGCGCACAGTCCTCCCTGAGATCTCCGGGGCCTTGTGAGAACAAAAGAGTTTGCCTTGCCGGATGAGAGCGTTTTGTTCCTCGCAAGCGGCCCATCAGAGGCTGCTGAAATCCGGGGTGGAGGAGGAGGAGGAGGGACTCCCTGCCCACAAAAGGCACAAGGCCTGCCTGTACTTGCCTCTTTGAAACGCAGGAAGCTCAGTTCCAGGGCCGTCTCTCTCCACAGGTGCCTGTCGAGGAGGGAGTTCCGGAGACTTCTTCCGTAATGTGTTTTCCGGTGGGCAGGTTGAATGGGCAAGGCAGCGAGCAGGCAATTCACAAAGGTGTGGATGGAGTCTGTTGCCTCAAGAAAGGACTCCCCCCCCCCCCAGACACTTCCCAGTGACCTTCCCCAGTTCAGGTGTGCTTCCTCCAGCTCCCTTTCTCGCCGGCCATGGCTGGCCAGCCATGCCTGTAGCCAGGGGTCATTTCGCAGAAAAAGAGGTGCAGGAGCTCACTAGCACAACACATCAGCATAGCTTATTCGCATATGCCACACCCCCTGACGTCACCGGAAGTGTGTCAGAAGGCAACACCCACCGCTCAGGCTCCACTGGACTGTTTTGGATTGCTAGCTATTGGGGGGGG